TGACTGCCTCATTGGCCGAGTGGTCGCAAGTGCGACTGCCGGGCAAGGGGTCTCGGGTTCGATTCCCGGGTCGGGCAAAGTATTACTGGGTTTTTCTCAGTGGTAGCACGGAGTCTGGAACTGTGCCCGGTATATGGCAATAGGCTCACCCCCTATTACATGGGACTCATAACATAAATAGTGAAAAGTGGGTGTTACATTACAGTGGCATTAAGTGCCGTAATGTGCACTTCTGCCTACCCTTTCGGGGATAAAAGGCGTGATGTTATGTATGTATGTATAAATTTTGACACACTTCAGTGTCATCTCCATATTTCAAGTTTTGTACTCTCTTATTAAGCGCTTAAACAAGCGCTTAATACGAAACAGATATCGATCCATTGTGTTGGTTTAAAAAGTTTGTATCACATAACTCTGTATATTTATTAATCTGTAATCTATTCTTTTCAGTTTACCTTTTACTTTAGTGTCAAATATAATTTCGAATCAACCACACGTCTTTCGTTGGAAAATCAGCACAAGCAAACTGCAACCTCATCGCCTCAACACATTGTCAATAAAAGAAATTAAGTTTTCAATAATATTTTGTGTGTTGCAGGCATGTACCCTGGCACAGAAGTACTCACTGAAGGTGTCTCCCGTGGAGGAGTCACTCATGGAGATGTTACATCCGGAGGGAAATATTGATACACAATGGGTGGGTTTTACATACAAAAGTATAACCGCATTTTGGTCTGTGCATACTGAACCGTAATTGTTAACTAATGTTCGTAGGTGGACAACGTGTCGGCCTTGCTCCGCGAGATGATATCGTCGCTAAGCGCGGAGAGCGCGGCGCTGCGCGCGCGACTGCGCGGCGCCCTCGCCCTGCTCGCCGCGCACCAGGTACGGCGCGCACTGCACTCACTGCTCTATTCATCTTTACTTAAGGTTCCATCTCGGAACTCCACCAGATAGATTCGCATCTATTGCCACCGCAATATTTCGGCGTACAATATTTCGACTAACTTTAGGTCGTAATTTAGTCGTTTGATCCAAATACATATTGTACGGGCTCGGAGGGATCAGGCTGTGGATCAGTCCTCGACGAGCTAGGTGGTTTTGTGGAGAGCAAATGGACTATATAATGAAACTGGAGAAACTCTTGTACACTGATATACTTTAATTATGATAATGTTAACAACACTAGTGGAGATTCACAATATTACGTCGACTGGCTGTGATCGACTTTTTACGTATAACGACTACATACATTGACACACTGACTGCGTGATGAATTGACAATGAATGCGCCTCGCCGGGTACAGTCCTTTTGTATGCGAGGCGCGCGGACAGGATAATTCCTGTCGATTTGAGCTCGCGGCTCGGCCGCTCTGCGACGTTGAGTCATGTTTGTACATGCTCAAAGGCAAGTTCAAACCAAGCAGCGGCGGCGCGGAACAAAGGAATGCCGCCGCACGCCTTTGATGTTCGTGTCTGAACTTGCCTTTTCGACATGGTTTCAACAAGTTTACGACACGTCGAGGGCGGCTCGCGACTTAGCGATGTCGTCGTGCACACATATTTTCTAAACACGATCAGGCTAACAACGTACTTCATCATTATTCTAAACGCTTTCTTCTATTTTGAACATGATTAAAAAGCCCTCAATTCATAGTAATGTTACCCCGACGTTACAGGGCAACAACCCGGCGTCGGACTTCCTGTCCCGCGAGAAGACAGTGAGCGAGCACATAGCGGCGCTGAGCGCGCTGGGCGCAGGCCGTGAGGCCGGCCCGGTCCCGGGCGCGCT